GATACTTTAAAAATTAGTATATATTGTTCTAAACACAAAAGAGCTCAAAACATCAAAATAAGAAAATACCGTAAATCAAAAAAAGGTTTACTGTTATTAAGTTTGGTCCAAAACCTACAAAATCTTCATTGCTTTCCATGTAATTTATTTTTTATTATTTAGGGAGCATTATAAATAGTTATGTTTTTAAAAGAAAAAAAACTACAATTGTTATAAATAACACATTCAATTGAACTAGACTATGCATGCCTATTTAAATATATTTACACATGGCTTGTGTATATCGTATATATATATATACATATATATTATTCCTACCTTCGGTCTATAGGACGCAAGCAGATTTTAACATCAAATTTTGGGGTAAAAAAGTGTGTCTTATACACCGAAAAATACGGTATCATTATATGAATGATATAACCACTTCCTGACAGAAGCCAAAAACCCCACCTTCTTCATTCTATTCAAAATGTGTACATTTGCAAACCAAAAGAAAAATTAATAAATTCAAAATAAGACCATGATAATGTCTGTATAACATGAAGTTGATTAAATAATCTTCTAATGTCTGTGGCAGTTTTATTTTTTTGTCTGAAAATGAAAATTTTGTTTTGTTCATGATACTAGTAAAAATAATTTTGCTCTTTGATATAATGTATCACCTTCTTCAGTGAAAATATTATCTAAAGGTTTGGAGTATTCTAAAAATACCAATTTCACCATACTGCTTCACAAAATAAAATACCAATTTCACCATACTGCTTCATAAAATAAAATACCAATTTTAACCATACTGCTTCATAAAATAAAATACCAATTTCACCATACTGCTTCATAAAATAAAATACCAATTTCACCATACTGCTTCATAAAATAAAATACCAATTTCACCATACTGCTTCATAAAATAAAATACCAATTTCACCATACTGCTTCATAAAATAAAATACCAATTTTACCATACTGCTTTCATAAAATAAAATACCAATTTCACCATACTGCTTCATAAAATAAAATATCAATTTTACCATACTGCTTCATAAAATAAAATACCAATTTTACCATACTGCTTCGCAAAATAAAATACCA